TTTTTTACGCCACTCAAGATTTTCGCTTAGTGTCAAAAGACCCCAGACATCAAAAGAGATAAGCTACAAGGTAACTTTATCCTTCGTATTGTGCAAGGCTGCCGGATAGCGTAGCCCATATAACCTTGCTTCTCACGTGCCGTATTGAGCGAGACTTGCCTCCTTTACACTTTTCTGTAGAGATTTTACCACTTAGAGGACTCTAGGGGACATTATCAGTATATAAGCATTGCTTGTCTTCCATGAACTCACACTCTAGAAAATTATTCATATCCTTTCTGTTATACGTCAGTCAACCAAAACTTTTCTAGGCGTCTCGTAACGAATTGATGCAACTTTTGGACAAAGCTCAGTTGGATGCCATTCCTGTTCTCGTGCTAGGAAATAAGAAAGATTTGCCGGGCGCATTGGATGAACGACAGCTTATTGAACGCATGTAGGTTTTTTTAATCGAAATTTTAGTCTTTCACTTGTTCAAATCACTTGACCTCAGGAATCTGTCTGCCATACAAAATCGCGAAATCTGCTGTTATTCAATTTCTTGTAAGGAAAAGGAGAATATAGGTTTGTTACTTGGTGAGCTTGCTGTTGCGATAAAAATTTTTATGACCTTTCAGATATTACGCTTCAATGGCTGATTCAGCATTCGAAAAGTCAACGCTAGTGTGTTTATCTGCTAAGCAAAGAGCACTTTTGTTCGCATGTACATTGCGTAGTGTTTCACTATCCCGATCATTATCACATCACATGTTTTATGCCATGTTCCTACTCCACAAGTTGCCGCATACCCGTTCATGTTCTCCATTAATTTGACCGAACCCGGCACTCATTGCCGGGATGCAAGATGTTGGGGAGTAGCTATGCCACTCACTTTTTCATTTTTGGGATGTAAATTGTCTCTTCAAAGCAAGGTTTCCTTTATACAGTCAAGTAGATTTTCCGCTTACAGTGTGCTCGCACTACAGGTGAAATGCCGTAAAATTCATGCGTGAACAAATAGCTACGCCTGTGACGCCGGTCAACTGCGCGCGCAAAATGCCGGCATTTGTGGCG